TCAGGGGTATCCACACACCATTCCGGCATCATTGTCCAGAAGAGTTTGAAAATTGAAGGTTTAAACTCCAGGCCCTTCGTGTCATGCGCCGATGGCTTTCATGTCGTCAAGTCTAATAGTCAGCCGTTGAGGATCTTTTTGTCTGGTATTGTCTTCAGGCAAACGCCGCTAACCTTCCAAGACGGGGATAATCTAACGATTTCAAATTGTTCTTTCAAAGAACAAAGCTTCACTGCGATAAGCGTTTATGCAATAAGTAATTGTGTTATTCGTATAAACATAGATGGCTTTTCATATTTCGAGAACAACACTTCTTGTTTGGATGTCATTTGGCGAAACCCTGATCTGGTGGATGATCAAACTATATTCGTAAATATGAAACATGTTATGTTTTCGGGAAACGGACTCCAAAAACAACTTGCGGGGGGTTTAGTTACCATCCGATCAGAACTCAAGCATCCACCTCATTTGCACGTCCAACTCTCTTGTATGCACGTCACAGCGACAAACAACTATGGGTATTTCGTAAATCTTAACCTCTCAGAAGCTATGACGAGTGAAATGTATACCGATATCGTGCTAATCAACAATACCGTCCCTGAACCAAGTTCTGATGGGAAAAAGTACGGCACGGTAAACAGCTTAGTTAGTTCTCTAACTAAGACAACACATGCGACCTTCCGTAACGTAAAGTGTTCCCAAAGCCGTTTTTTGCGATGTATCAAAATTCAGTCTGATGAGTCGCAAGTGGAAATTCAAAATTCGACGTTCGTAGAACTACAAATTCCAAACAAGCGCGGGGGAGCGATTTTCTTTAACTCAAGAGTAAATGGTTCCCTAATTCTTTACAACAGCACGTTTCACCGGAATACAGCTAAAGGCGGCGGGGCTCTGTTTGCACACAGTCAAGATGGAACCCTCCAGTTAGAAATCACCAATTGTAGCTTTACGGAATGTGCTGCAGAAACTTTTGGATGTGCAATACTTGTTGGAGATCAAACAAACAGAGCAGGCTGTTTTAACCTGATTGCGAACTTTAGAAATATCAGAGTGCATGATTCTTATGGCTACCAAAACAGATGCGACAGTGTTAGCCTCATGTTAATTAATGGAAAAGTGATGATTGATGATTCTTCTTTGAGAAACAACAGTAGGTCCACGGCTGGTACCCTGGCAGTTATGAACACAGGTGGTAATACTGATTTAATTATTTCTGGATGCACATTTTCCCATAACGCTGTTAATGCGAAGGAAATCACTGTTATGGCGCATAAAAGTGAAGCAGGCAACGTTACGATTGCAAATTGTGATATGATTAGCCAAGAAACTGGCAAAAGTCGGGCGGTGTACATAACTTCAAACTTTAGGACCAGACTGTTTGACGTTGTAGTAAGGTCGTACTTCTACGCGCTGTATATCAGTGGTTCGGATTATTATATACTTAACACCTCATCCGATGCTTATCCCTTTTACTTGTCAATTTTCAATTGCACCTTCCAGGATAATGTCAGGGCCATTAATGCAAGTTCACCCGACCCTACTCAGGTGGAATTAACAATTGAGAATACTATTTTCATCACCAAAGAGTCTACCTCGGACTCATTTGGACTTCACTTCTTCATACTACCTTTGAAAAAGATCCACAACTCAAAAGTCATGGTCGAAATAGACAATGTTACATTTACCTCTTCGCCGTGCAACCTCTTGGCTTTTCTATTTAAAGGCAACAAACACATTCGCATCAGAAAGTCTCAATTTACTAACTGCTTTTGTACGAATATATGGGTTTGGTATAACCTAAGAACTGATTACAGTGTGTACCAATTTTCTACTGGAGCCATTTCAGTTTTCTCAGTTTATGATAGCATGTCAAGCCCAGGATGTGTTAAAGATAAGAACCACAACGATACTCATCCTACTTGGAGTTATCTGACTCATGTTGAATTCGCAGATACGTTATTCGAGGGTAATGGAGGGCTTGATGCTGGTGGAGTACATTTGTGCAATGGTCACACAACCTTTAAAAGATGTTTTTTCAAGAATAACTTTGGAATCGAACAATCTGGTCATGTTTATCTAGACTATGGAACTGGAAAAGCAGATTTTATCGACTGTATATTCAACTCGACAGCAAAAAAGGTGACATCGAATGTGACGACTTTTCGAAGGTCAGCCTTCGTGCTGTCGGACAGTAATGGACTCATTAGACTTCGAAACACAACCTTGTCCTCTTTCAATCCAGAAAGTACTCTGTATCCTGTGTTTTACATCTCCAGCGGGAGTTACGTCTACATGGATGATAATTCAGCCATACAATGCCCTATTGGCAGCAAGCTTCTGTTTGATAATGCCACGCACTTTGTTTACACTGAATACAATAAAAGCTTTTGCAGGATAAATGTTACGGTCCTGAAGTACTCTTGTCTGCGCTGCTCTCTAGAGTATTACAGCATAATACGTGGAACTTCTCGTGGTTTATTGTTAAACAACGCAGTAAAGTGTCTTCCATGCCCGTTCGGGGCAAGTTGTGTCGAAAGAAATATAGTGGCCAAACCTAACTTTTGGGGTCATCTAAATAGATCATCAGTCCCACCATCACTGACGTTCTTTGCCTGTCCAGAACATTATTGCCGAAAACCAGGCCCAAACACAAATGGTTACAACAGTTGCTCAGAGAACAGAACAGGAATTCTTTGTGGTGAATGCATTCCAGGATACAGTGCAACTCTGTTCTCAACACAATGTCGTAAGGATGAAGAATGTGACAACTATTTGTTCTGGGTATTGACTGTCTTGTTAACGATGGTTCTTTCGTTATAGCTGTTAAGAAAACCACCAACTTTAAGTTTTCTTCTCTATAGGATAATTTGGTTTAGAAAGAAGGAAAGCAACCGGGAAGACAGCACGGTTCATGAAGTTGACCACCACAGGGATAACGCCTACATAAAAATAACTTTTTATTTCTACCAAGCTGCTGAACTGTTGATGGTCAATTCAAAAGAAAACCTTCTGCAAAAGGTGCCATGTATCGCTGCAGTTATCGCCGCGTTTAACTTTAAGCTACGTACCCTTAATGAAGGGCTCGGTTGTCCTTTCCCTGGGCTAACATCGGTGACAAAGCAATTGGCTCTTTCTGGCACTGTTCTCTTGACAATGGCTGACATCGCACTCATTTATTTCTTCCACTGTGTTATCAACATGATAAGGTGCAACAAGAGGCCATTCATCTTCCATTACATGGCCGTCATCATGGAAGTGTTGCTGTTAGGTTACGAAAGGCTGGCAGAAACGTGCCTCAAATTGATAACCTGTGTCTCAATCGGATCTGAAAGACGGCTTTTTATTGATGGAAATGTGACGTGCATGCAATGGTGGCAGTATCTTGTTCTAGCCTATATTGCAGTGTTTATTGTCCCTTTCATTGTCGTTGTTTACCTCGGATCATCCAAGCTGCACAAGGCTTCAATAACTGCACCTGAATTTCTTGCTGCATGCGTGCTTCCATTGCCGTTTCTTTTCTACTGGTTTCTTAAGAAAATGAAGAAGCGACCAGGGAATATATCTGTTGGAGTACAAGCTGGTGACAAAGATGTCTTGGAAGTTCTTCACGGTCCTTTCCGTCCACCTAAGAACGACGATAAAGGGACACTCTACTGGGAGAGCGTACTGATTGGCCGAAGATTCATTCTCCTTGCTTGTCATTCGTTTATAACAAGCCCGATGCTGCGAATGATCGCCATGGCTACAGTTTGCTCTCTGATAGCACTCCACCACGTATCCAAGAATCCTTTTCGAGAACGAATGGCCAACAGGGCTGAGACAATTTCCCTTTCTGCTTTGTTGATAATATCCATAATAAATCTTAGCGAAGCAACCCTGATATCATTTGGTATCACGATCACAGGGCCTTACGGACGTTTTCTTGATGTTATGGAATGGTTTGAAGTTGGTGCATTGGCAGTTGTACCGATATCAGTGTCTGTTCTTGTCATGGGTGCCATTGTTTCCCAATTCGTCCGGGCTTTGTTATTTCTTTTTGGGCAAGCTGGCAGGCTTTGTTGTCGGTATGACAGCGCTCTTTTTTCCAGGAACGAACAGAGAATATCACTATTGAGTACTGCTGAGTGAGAACTTGAAAGGCCTATTTTGTTTGATAATTTTCATCACACACTTTTGGAGAAATGATTGTTAAGGATACAAGTTTTAAGGTAATTTCTTTCCAACTTTTATGGCAATATTATTTTTTCCTATACAAGCACTGAAACGTAGAATTTGAAGGATCAAAGAAACTCTTTACAGACGTGAGACATCACATTTAGTGTAAAAGAAAGATTGGGTCTTAGCGAAGAAACATGTGCCTTTAGCTTAAAAATATTAGCAGAGAATAATGCTTTCAAATAGGCTGCTGATGCAGATGTAAATGTGTCCGGTTTTGGAGTTCTACTGAAACTTTTAGTTTAGTTCGAACATAAAGAAACACTTTATTATTATTATAGCTATAATGTAAGTGAAGCAGTACGATTGTTGTAAAGATATGCTAATAAATTATAGCTATGTTTATAGATTATTTCAACGGTGTTTTAAAGGTTTAAGGTTTCTGTCCAACTACTCGGATATGCGATGAGAAATTTTCTCACCAACTAAGGGTGTGCAGAAATATAAAACCCTACGAAATCATTTCTTATATGTATCAACGCTTACTTCAAATATTTTCGTAGCGCTTTGTCCCAGACTCAGCTTCCTTTTCCTTCACTTAAAATCCATGAATTTCTTTTGCATTGATACAATGTTTTTCATAGCCCCAACATCCGAAGGAAATAGAGTCGAGTAATTTGCCATTTTTTTTTGAGCCGGAAAACTTGCCAATCGATGCAAGCAATTACATGTAAAATACATGGCTGATAAAGCCACTATTATATCTTTGTTGTCGTTGCAATTGTTGCGTTCAAATTACAATGTTACACATAGGTTTGATTCCCTATTAATTGACCTTTTCATGGGTTTTTTTTTATACATGAACGGATAATGCCAGTCAATGTATCGGCCACCATCATGCATTTAGAAGAAAGTTATGATCAACTTGTAGGATCAAGGCTTACTCTAGCGTGAAGCAAAATTGATATAGAAACGTTTGCTCTGTACTTGTTATATATCTTCGATTTTCATAAAAATCTTGCTTAAAAGAAAATAATACATAAAACCCTGAGATAGTGAGGTTATTGGTTTCTAATTATATATAATCAACGATGTAAGGGGAAATGCACCCTCATTGATAATACGCCAAAATTAGGCAGAGGAACTCCGCAGCAATGTTCGGCGGAAAGGGATTATATTCAGATTAGACGTTCATTGTCAACTTCACTTTAAAGCAAGGGCTAGAGTTCGGCTTGATTTTAGAACTTCCGAAGAGACACCCTGTAGCTCACGGTAAATTTGATGATTTCATGTCAAATTATTTTTACGTATTACTTCCAACAGCTAATGACTGTTGGAACATTCATTTAATAAAAGTGTTTAACCTCCTGCTTTTGTTTATAATGTTCAAATGATAATTGACTGCCTCGAAAATATAACCATGATTCTTTAACAAATCTTACTAAAGCAAGGATTTCCACTAGAAAAAGGCTGTCACGAATATTCTTTGTCATATGTATATAAAGGGTCATATTCCCAGAGATTTTGATCCCTTTTAGAACCTTCAATATTCCTTTAAAGAGAAAAGGGAAAGAATTCCACTCGCAGGGAATGCATTTAATCCTAATAAAAATTCTTTCAAGACCGATACTTTGAAAGTGGTCCGTTAAAGTTGAACTCACCACCTTAGCGTTATCAGCACCACGCTCTACCGACCGAGCTAACAGAGCAGATGCTTGAAAAGAATAATCCCCTGCGCAAAGAATTCCTGATGCAGAAAATAGCCTTTGATCAATTGATGAATTAATGAATGAATAAGTAGATATTTAGATGAATAATTGGATTAATACAGAAATAAAGTAGAAACAGCAATAAAATTAAGGGATGTTATGAATGACCAGAAAATTGATCTGTGTTTGACTTCAATGTTTTCTGCCCTTAACTGGCCTTACTAGTGGTCTAAAGTGTTCACATCATGAGCCGAAAAACGTATTGTCACACACCAAGACAATAAAATCTCTTGCACCTAATGATACATTTTATCCTGATATATACTGGGGTACTGTAATGTATTAAGCCGCTAAGTATGCTGGGATAGAAGGAAACCTTTGCTTTTGATAGCGGCGGCCATGTTACGTTTGCAATGAAACTAGTTGAGTTAAATCTTTTTGTTTGGATACTTTATTGCTCTTGGGACCATTACAGGTACAGTAAAGCTTTGCTGAATTAAACTGAGGATTGGACAGAAAAGCCAATCCAGTCACCAAAGATGCTTTTAAGTCGATAGAAAATAACTCAAAAGTGTTCTTGAAACTTCAGGTTCATCTAAGTTAGAGGTAATTTTTCTTTAATTAGAACGACAATTGAGCCTTTCAACTGAACTTCACTGAGTGTAAAATCAGCCTAAACCTGATCATCTTGCTTCGTTTGTTAGTTGACGGAAGCTGGAAGAGGAGCTCGGTTTCCGAAACTTTCGGTCTGCGTTTCACGATCCGAAAAGTCATTTAAATCACAAATTATTTTAAAACATTAATATTAATATTTGTGCTCATAGAAAAAAAGTAATTTCCTTCCTTTTTCCCGTGATATGGTCAGCTCTGTCAGGGCCTTTGAGAGGTATTCTGTTGAATCGAGTGGTTCAGATTTGACGTCAAGAATTGATTGATTTAATTTAGTTACGACTTATCTTGAGGTCAATATTCTTTCTGGCATATTTCCATGTATGTTTTGAATGGAAGCTCAGCGTTCGTGTTTTCCCGTTGTTTCTCTTATAAGATTAATTTACAAAGTTGAATGTAAGAAGGAACGGAAAGCAGTTTATGGCAGCGCAGTGCTTATAGGACCAATGTACCAACCAGATCCAAAGTACAATTTCTTTAAGAAGAACTCCCATGGCGGCTGTTAACCACATCGAGCCCCTTGAGAAACAGTTGCTGTCGCAAAAAAGTGCGAAAAAAAAAAAATTAAAACGTTCATGGAGATTGAGCAGAAAGGACATTTGGAAAAAGTTCCATATAACTCCAACATTAATTATGCATTTCACATAATTATGTATGCGCGTTATTGTTTTTCAAGACAATGACTTATTCCCAAGGGTTTAGCATATATACATGACTAATAAGTACTTACTGCTTTAATAAAAGAGAAATTGATTGAGAGTGGCTTTTCCTTCTCTATGCTTGTCTCACATTCGTCTCCCTTCTCCCCTTTATTCCCACTAATTTCTCCTTTTGTTTTTCTTTTTTACCTTCTGAGCAGCCCTGCTGAGCCTTGAACCATTGCTCTTTAGTCAACACGTTATTACCAGGCCATTACCAGCCTATTGCTTTATCCACTATGCTACACAAATGAGTTAGGAGATATCGTCCAAAAATTACTTTTTGTTTTACCTTTCACTGAAAAAATTTTCATAACAATATCTGCATTGATATAATGCCCAAAAGGTCCCCTTTGCACTAAAGAATACATTTCTTCTTTTCTACGATTGGCAAAATACCACATAAAAAACAAAATTTATTCATCGGTATCACCAAGGTCGCGCTATCGAAGGAAAGTGGGTATTCGGTGGCATTTAACGAGAAACCAAGGCCTTCTTCTTTGTTCCGGTAGAGTGTTGGGACAAAGATACACTATTGCCCATCATACGCGCTCAAATACTGCCAGGGACACGCGTGATGAGCGACTTATGGAGAGCTTACAATTGCCTAAATGACGAGGGCTATGATCATCTCACAGTAAACCACAGCCTAAACTTTGTTGACCCAAACACTGGTGCCCACACAAAGGGCATCGGAAATACATGTTAGGGAATCAAGCGAGGTTTGCCCCAAACAGGAACATCCAAAGGACTTTTTGATGGCTACCTACAAGATTATATGTGGCGTCAGCACTACGGAAAAGATCCCTTTGGAATCATTATCGAACATCTCGCCTACCTTTATGAAGGCCAGAAATACTAGATTAATTAAGGTTTCTTTGCATCACCGTAGGCACCGGCCTTCGTGATCTACTTTCATCACTCGGGCACGAAAAGTTAATGAAAGAATCAACCAAAACCACAAGAACAGGTAAGATACAACATTTATTTAAA